CTGATTGATTGATTGATTATAAAGTAATTGTCAACTCTTAGCAATCACATGGATAGATTTTCTCCATGACAACGGAGAACCTGGTTCTTCAGTTTTTTCAACAGTGCACTCATCGCTACTGTAACTGAGTCTATCCACCTTGCTGCTGGTCATCCTCTTCTTCTCTTTCCTATCCAGAATCATGCTCTGGCTAAAAATAACCAGCTTTTCATCATTTCCAACAGCGCATAATGATTACATCATAATACATAGTATTTTGGAATAATATAAAAGAGTTACCTTTGTGTTAAGAAACATACAGGGCAGTCTGAGATTTTTTCTTTTAACTCCAATGTGGCTATTCACATCTCTGTAAAATAAGGAGCCATAAGATGAGGCAGCCAACAACAAAAGAGGTGCACATGCTCTAAAAATAAAAATGAAATATAAAAATTGTTAGAGTGAAACAAATAGCCAGTTCTGTGCTGAGTGAAATACTCTTTATCCAACCAAATCCATTTAGCCGCTCATACATTACTGTATGGTCAATAAAATAATTATACAGTTGTGATTAACCATTGATATTGGGGCAGTGGTAATGGTTTCCTACCCTGTTCACATGAAGCTGCCATAAGATACATTAGGATTCCCAAATCAGGGCTGAAAGCTCTGTTAACAGACTGTCCAAATTTTGAGTTTATCCTGGCAAAGATGGAAAATTGTTATGTAGGTACACTTGAATACCTGCATGTGCCTTCTTTAATAGAATGCTTCAACTATTACATCTAAGTTACCTGCTCAGCCTCTTTCTGCCAAATATTACCTGTGCTGACTTCTTTTTACCCAGAGCAAAAAAAATGAAGATACATCTGATTTCAGCATACAAAGTTATTGTAAGGTGAAGAAATTGAAAGATGTGTATCAAGCTTCAAATGTTCCCCACTTTGATGCTCTCCAGATGCCACAAAGCAATACATCTGGATAACACAAGGCTGGGGAAAGCTACCAGGCACGATCAAGCTGGAACAAACGTTGACTTACACATGCAACATTTTCAAGGGTTTTCTTCACTCTAGCTTTGTTTATTTTTGAGGGGGGCTACATGTCTAATATTTAGGTATGTCTGTATGAAATCAGAATGACTTGGTTCTGCTCATTGCTGTAGAAATCTCTTCCCTTGGAGGTTTGTCAGGATCATAGCCAAGGCATAATGCAGTGCTTTTCAGTTCTGAGTGTTCTGCAGATACAGGGGGAAAAGAAATGGTTTACTATACAGGTCGTCCTCACTTAATGACCACAGTAGGGACCAGAAAATTCATTGTTAAGTAGGGCAGTTGTTAAGTCGTGCCCAATTTTACAATTTTTTTTGCAGTGGTCATTTAGCGATTCACCATGGCCATTAAACGAATCACCTTGTTCCCTGTTGATTTTGCTTGCTGGAAGCCAGCTGGGAAGGTCGCAAGTGGTGATCATGTGACCCTGGGACGCTGCAACTGTCGTAAGTGCCAGGCACCCAGATCACAATCATGTGACCGTGGGGGTGCTGCAGTGGTTGTAAGTGTGAGGACCAGTTGTAAGTCCCTTTGTTCACACCATTGTAACTTGAATGGTCATTAAACGAATGGTCATTAAGTAAGGACTACCTCTACAACATCCTGGTAAATGTGGTCATCCCTAGTCTAATTTACTGAAAAGGAGAGAAACTACATAACTCAAAACAATCTCTTGAAAATGGTTGCATAACTTGCTTGCAGTAACCTGTAAAAGTAGTAATGTTAAATGTTTTGGTACAAAAAATTATTTTTTCTGAAATCTAAGTATGACTGAACAAGGAAGTAAGTTTAGTGTCATAGGCCCTGATAAAGATGTAAGTTCAGTAAGGATGTTCTTACAGCAGTCTGCTTATCACTTCAGGAAGATCCCCGACTGAAATTTCCAGTACACTTGCGGTCAAAAGCGGCTTTAAACCCGAATGATTTGGGTCCCCTTCCTGTAAGTATCCACATTGTACCTTTGAACCTAGGCAACCTTTGTGCCTGCTGCAAATGTAGTTTGGCAACCTTTCCTTACCTGGGTGCATTTCAAAGAATTGCTGAGTATACCTATCTGGAAGGTACCCAGGTTACGAGAGAGAGAGAGAAAGAGAGAGAGAGAAGGGTGTGTGTGTGTGTGTGGTTGTATGATTATGGCAGTAGTCGCTGGTTTGATTGCAGCACTAGAAAGCTTCACTTGTGTACAAATATGTTCCCCTGAATTTTCTTTGTGATGTGCAACATGGCAAAGTAGCCATAAGTGAAGGTTATGACTTTGCAGGTCCTGCATTTATGATGGTTACTATTCAAACAAAACCAGTAAAGAGGATTTAATTGGAAGGAATAACGCTACTTGCCAGCTGGGAATTTGGCTAATTTCATGATATAGACAGCAGATAGCTTTTAAATGTCTGCTTACATTTTTTCTGTGTTTTATTAGTCTTTACAAACACAGCTTATTATTTGGTTTACTTCACTTCCAGTTTTAGCATTCACCCCTCTCTCTGTCAGAGCGAGATGTTTTGCAAGATTGTGCTTAGCGGCAAAGATGCTGCGGTTTTGCTTTCTTTTCAGAAGAAAGAACAGAACCACTCTTGCTATTTTCAGTGGTCTGGATTCTCCCCCTCTCAATTTGTCTGCCTCTTGAAGATAAACCACAGTTTCATCACAGCTAGCCATCTGTACATTTTAAGACTTTTAAAAGAACAGACAAACAGGTTGGTTTAATGTAGCTCGATGTTTCTCAACCTTGGCTACTTTAAGATGTGTGGACTTCAACTCCCAGAATTCCCCAGCCAGCATTTTTATGTGTGTCAAAAAAAAGAGAGAGGGAGAGAACTCTCAACGTTGCAAGCACACTCTCTCAATCCAGCATCAGTAACTGTTACAATATGCTATTGAGAACTTCTCATCCAGAATCCATAACCGTTTTCCAGGGTTGAAAGCAACTGTCTGTTCTTATAAGACCAGGATAGCCTGCTTCAAAAAGAGGTGTATGGGTCCCTTGGCAAGCACACCTGTTTCTGAAGGCATATGAAAGTTTCCTCTTGGTACCTGAATATCCACATCAGTTATGGAGAGAGGCATCCTTTCTAGAATTAAAGCTGGAGCCTAGTGTTATTTTATTTGACGTATTGTCCCTTTGCCCATTAAATTCAATTTAAAAACGTCAAAGCAAAGCTACAAATAATGGTAAGATAAAAAAACAGAAGCTGGGACATACAGCGCAATAAAACCAAAAAGTAGAACAGATAGTATTGTCTCCACTGCCACTTAAGAGCAGGTAAGAGGAGCTGGTCTGATTTTGCTTGAGAAAAAGTTCCATATGGGTAGTCCTCATTTATCTACACTCATTGGGATCAGAAACTCTGCCATTAAGTAATGTGGTCCTAAGTCAAAAAAACCATGTGACCACGCTACTTAGTAATGGCAGTTCCGGCAGTCCCAGTTGCCGTTGTTAAGCAGGGACCTCACTCGACCATGACTTCCAATTTCCTGCTAGCTTCCTCATTGACTTTGCTTGTGGGAAGCTGGCAGGAAAGGTCACAAATCGTGATCACATGACTACAGGATGCTGCAATGGCCATAAGTATAAGGTCAGGTCGTAACTACCACTTGTTCAACACTGTCGTAAATTTGAACAGTTGCTGGACGATTGGTCATTAAACGAGGACCACCTGTAATTGGAATCTGCTACAGAAAAAGTCACATCTTCAGAATTCAGGGACCCACTTCTCTGTGTGGAGGCACATACAGTAAGGGTTCTGGGGATAATTGCAAAACATGGCTAGATCCTTATGCCATCCATGGCTTCTAGGTGCAGTATAGGGATTGTTACACTTTACCCATCTTATGACTTAGTTGTGAGTCCCAATAAATTCATTTGGGTATTGGGGCAACATAAAAAGTAGCAGCAGTAGCAACTGCAGCTCTGAACCAAGACTGACTATTCTGACAGCAGTTGTCCCAGCCTTCAGTCAGAAGTCTTCTCCAGCCCTGCCTAGAGATGCTAGGAAAGTCTTCCATAATTAGGGGTAGAAATTGGAATAAGACCCGATTTTGTTGCTGAAGACTTGTTTCTCAAAACCAGGAAGTAACTATTGAATATATATAGTTCTCCCCTGGACAATTCACGTATTACTGGTGTGGAATCTCTGCCAAAGGCTTATTGTCTGGGCCTGCTCTGTTCTTCCTGGCTCTCATTTTTAAAATAATGATAAAATATGCCACCAACAGGAAGTCATTTTATGTAGTCTTTTTTTGCACTAGATAGTAATTCAATCGAGCCATCTTTAATATTGATGTATTTTCCAAACCTGGCCTTCTGTAATCAACGATATTTTATTTTATGTTAACAGTTCTAGGAACAAAATTAGATTTGTTTTTAATTATCAGGGTTTTTTTTAAATGTACTGAATCCCTAGAACAGTTAATTCACCTTTTGGTTATTGGCTAAGACAGGGTAAATATCGTTTTCAAATTAAGATACTAGAGTATAGCATATATTGTAATCCTGAGAATATCCCAATCCAGCTTTTTGAGAGCTGAGTAAAAATTCCTTCTCCCTGTCTTGCACACACAGTAAAGCTTTGGTTCTTTTGCTATTCTGACCATACCTTCTGTATTATCTCTGTATTTTAATTCTACATTTCTCATATGTAAGAACAGACTAATGTCCTTATCATGCTGTTCTTATGAATGTAAATACTCCAAATTACTGTATATGTGAAATGTTCCTTTAGTTGCAATTACAACTAGAAAAATCTCCTTTCTTTAGGTGAGTGCTTTGTCTCATTTGGCAAACCCTTGCAGTCCTCCCAAAAGCTCTATTTTTAAGGGCTTTTTTGTATATCTTCCTGTAATTTGGGCTGTTTTAAGAAAAATACCTGTAACATACCAGCAGCACCTCCTTGCTGCTTTCTGTAGAACAAACAAGAGATGGATTCTTTCCTTTTTGTTCAGATTTTGCTCCTCTTATTGTCTCAAAGCTTCAGTTCACTTTTTTTCTTCTTCCTCAACTGTGGGGAGTCAAGATAGTTTTATTCTCTACTTAAAGTAAGTGCAGAAACTGCCAGCCATGTCTTGCTGCTCCCTCTTGCAAGAAACACAATGGGAAGGAATTGTCACAATCCTTGTATTTCCTGGCCTTGTTGGAGCAAAAAATGAGTAGTCTATTCACTATTCCATTATATTTTCTGTGGACCTGGGTCTGGTTTTTTAAAATTTCTGCAATATTATTGTTGCTGGTAGTTTTTAGATGTGGGAACAGATGGAATTTAGAGGAGGCAGCAGCAACTGTACTTTTGGCCCTTTCTGCATATGCACGACTTGTGAAATAGAAGCCATCTCTTATATTTTATATATATAAATGCATTTTTATTAAAAATTTATCTTCCTTTTTAAATCTTTTTTTTTTTAAATATTTTTTTAATGAAATAGAAGCCATCTCATCCCCACTCCTGATACAGAAAGAGGAAGATGTACTTTCTCTCTTCTCTCTTTGAGATTTTGTAGGCTCCTGGAGAAGCAAAGTGATATAGCATTTCTGGAAAGAGGTAGCTCAAGGGTTGGTAATGTTTTACTCCCTGACCTCCAACATTATAAAATTAATTAATTAAAATGGCAAAAATTGTACAACGTAGCCAATTTTCACAAGATCTCTATGTTAGACTTCATGATATTTTGGCTACCTTTCATTTTTTTCAATTATACCCACCTATTTATTTATTTTTAATATATTAATTTGGTGCAGGAGGGAGTTGGTAACAATGTGCAAGACTGCATAGAGGTGCCTACCACCTGAAAAGGTTGCTACTTCTAGATGAGTTCAAGAGTAATTTCTCTTCCGTTCCTTATGTGTTCTGCATATGCTATGGGATTTGGGGAGGGGGGAGTTTCAGTGGCACCATAAATCAGGGGATTGACTAATAAGCCACTGGTTACAACAAACTCTGTTTCCTGGAAGAAACAAAACCACATGGAGTTCTGTGGAATCCGTCTTCTTCCTATTCAGTGTCAGAAGGCAGCATTTGCAAAGGATTTGCCTATGCCAGGCCCAGATCAGGGCCTCTAGGTGAACTCTACAATTTCAATTTCATTGTATAATGCATGAAACATCCTTTAAAAGGAGAGGGAGGATACATGAAATGATATGCCTGTTTTGAAAGAAGTGTTTGAACGTAACAGCAATAAATATTAACTCTGCTTCTGATGTTGCTTTTGTTGTTCTTTAATTACAGCCTGGTTGGGAGGAACGGATTCATTTGGATGGAAGAACTTTTTATATAGATCATAGTAAGTAGGCATATGCAGGTTCTACAGCAAATAGATGAAGGGAGGTCATCATTATTGAAGTGAAAGCTTTGTAATTTTACTCTTCATTTAGGAAGCCAGGTGTTGCTATGTGGCGAGATTCATACCCGAGACTTAGTGCCCTCTTACGGTACTGTACAATTCACCAAAAGCTTGCTTTAATTGGCTCATCAAGCTTTGTCCCTATTGATCTTGTGAAGCATTAACATTTCTTCTTTGTGGTTGTTTTTGTTGAATTTTTTGGATTTTCTTTTATTTATTTATTTATTTATTTTCCTCTTTGGTGTTGTGGATGGATCCCATGGCTTATATGCACTTATTAATAAATGGAAGCACACTCTAGGAATAGAAAATAAGATGAGAAAAAAAAGAAATGATGTAGCCATGAGTCTGTATATACATAAGTAGTAGAAGAAATTTTTGATAGAATCTTTCCCCTCACAAATTGATTAAAGAAGGTCTTGGGGCAACGCCAGTTCTGACCTTATTTTCTATTTGTGGCATGTTAGTTTGCACCCACCCTGTTAATCTCTATCCACTTTTGTTCCTTGAAGTCCTAGTCTAAATGGCGTTTCATTGTAGATATGTCCTATTACAGCACTTCTGAACAAGTGTGTGGATCTTTGTTGTGTTTTGATTTTCAAGTGGCAACAGAAATAATTGTTCTTCAACTGGGAATGTTTGTGATTTTTTAAAATCTTCATAAATACATTTGTTCAACATCTTCTTGGGCTAGAATGTGAAAGGAAACCCTCTTTTTGAAACTTGAAAAATTAACCTTTTAAAATTATTGCACCAGTGTTGTAATCTCTGTTGTCTTTGAATATCCATCAATTAACCATGATACTTAATTGCACAATATTTTAAGTTAATTATTTATAAAGAATGCCTGTATAAAGTAGCTTCTGGATCTTGAAAATGCATGAGTAGGCTTTAAGTAGAATCATATTCTTTAAAATAGAGAATGGAGTCGATATTTAGAACTAGATTAATCTCTTCAGAGAATTGTTACAGAATTAACTAAGAAATGCCTAAATGCTATGTGATCAATTCTCTGTTTATTACTACTTTTGGAAGACAGAAACAACAGAAGTTAAATTCTACCTTTTCTGTTGTTGACCCTTTCCTCTTAAATGGTTCTGCTTCCCCAAATATCTGTTACTCCAAGCCTGGTCTGCCTGAGCCTGTTACCAGCCTCAGAATAATAGATCTTTGAGGGTCATCTTTGTTTAAATCTTGCACTGGCACAAAAGTGGGCACCCTGCATATTAAGTATTTCTTTTCTCTTACCATCAATTGTAAGGCCTTACCTTTTGCTGCAGCAGTATCAACATATATTTTTTCTGCTCCCTTTATGGCAGCAGGGTAAAATCAGACACAGCTCAGTGAATCTCTGCCCTGTTTGCAATTAAAAGTGTCTTAAAACCAGCTGGGTTGAAGCATTGCAGTCATGCAACCTTATATCTCTCTTGCCTTGCTTGGTGCATCTGTTTCTCTTGCACAATAAGACTGATGGCCATGCCAGTTTCACTGCTAGATTCAGGTTTTATTTTATTTTAATGAAGGTATTTTATTAATCACATTCATATAACCCACCAAATCAACCATGGATTCCTGGAGGTTCACAGTAATAAAAACATGAGAAAACATTACAAATATAATAATGAAAATGTAAGAAAACATTAAAAATTAAGATGTCACAATAAAAGTAAATGTATGTTAAAATAAACTACTCCAGCTCAAATACAGCCTTCGCTCCTCAGGATATTCCAAACCAAATAACCTCAACACATAAACAATCCCAGGAAAATGGCAGCAATTACACATTAAATCTTCGTAGCATTTGCTGGAATATCATCAGGGAAGGAACATGCCTGATTTTTGGGGGGAGATATCCATAGGGCCAGGGCAGCAGTAGAAGAACTCCTCCTGGCCCAGCTCCCCTCACTTCATGGAAATGGGGAATGATTAATAGCTTTCCTGGGAAGGAAAATAACTTTTCTCAGCACTTGCAATTCCGGTTGGAAAAGTTAGCCCTATAGGTGCCAAGCCACGTAGGGTTTTATAGGTCAAAACCAGCATTTCTATCCCAAGGACTGGAGCAGATTGTTCTTTTGAGATTGTTCTCTTTGTTAATGAGAGGGCCAGGGTTTAAGATGTTGGGTTAATACTGGGGAGACACAGGTCCAGTCTAACTTCGGCATTGTAGGAGGAGAGCTATGTTAGTTTTGGTAGCAAATAATCAGGAGGAGTCTGGTAGCACCTTTTCCAACGAATACATTTTATAAAAAGGCTTCAGCTTTCATGAGCTGCAGCTCTCTTCATCAGATCTTCATCATAGAGTGGCTAGAACAGTGTTCCTCAACCTTGACCACTTGAAGATGTGTGGACTTCAACTCCCAGGATTCCCCAACCGGCATGGCTGGCTGGGGAATTCTGAGAGTTGAAGTCCACACATCTTAAAGTTGCCAAGGTTGAGGAACACTGGGCTAGACTGATCTAGGATTTCAATTAGGATGAAGCAATGGGGGGGGGGGGTAAGGAGGGGAGGCAAGTTGGTTATGCAGTTGCAGGTGACATGTAATCATAACCCAACTAGAAAAACACCAGCCCTAAATTCCGAGACTGTTTATGATCTTCTGAGCCCATCTGCCAAAGTGATGATACCACAGTCACAAAACAGTGTTTTTTCTAAAAAGACACTAAACAACACTGTTTTTCTAGAAACACAAAACACTGTTTTTCTAAAACAGTGACTGTTTTAGAAAAGTGGGTCTTTAACAACATCATCAAGTGAGAAATTGTTGAACTTGCATACATCAAAAGCTTTCAGGCAATCTTAGAAGGTCTCAACAAACACAATGGGTTTTTAACACATTACAGTTCTTAACTGATAAGGTACTTGCAATCTGTCCTACATGTAACCTTTTACATGGTTACTTTGGATCATCACTATCACTCAGCCCAACCTACCATACAAGGTTGGTGTGATGTGGAATAATTGGAGGTGGTGTTGTATACACTGCCTTAAGCTCCCAAAGGAGAGGCAGGATATAAATCTAGCAAATAAATACATTCAATTGCACACACTTGAAAATGTTAGAGAAATCTTAATTATATTTATTTTACTTTAAGTTCCCAGCAGCTACAGCTGGGAAGTTCATTTATTAGGGCCAAAGTAAAGGCATTTTTAGACTGTGGATGTTGGCGTTTTTCTTGACTAACCATTATAGCTGTCTGTTGTTGTTTTTTTAAAATCAGTTTAAAGCATTATTGATTGCATCACACTCTCAGTCAACACTTCTTCTAAACCACTTCTCCAATTAGCAAAGTGGAGTGGGGTGTCATCAATGTGAACCATTCATAGTTTTCCTCTAATAAAGGTGTCCTCAGTTTAAAAGCTCATCAGTGTAGAACAGGTTTCTAGGCTTTACTAATATTTGCAGCTGCCTTGAGAATTTTGGGAAAGGAATATAGCCACAGCCATACAGTACAAGATTACCATAGTGCTATTTTGCTTTTATTTATTTATTCATACATACATACATAAAATGTATAGGCTGCCCAATTCCCAACAACACTGGGTGGCTTACAATTCAATTTTTTTTAGAAAAATTTACAGAAGACAAAAAGAAGTCATGAGTATCCCCAAAACAGCATGTAACCAAAAAAAAAAAAAAACCCACATCTAGCAGGGGGTTCAACCTTCACTCTGCCCCAAAGCCTGGGAGAATAGCCAGGTCCTTAATAGCTTCCTGAACGTCATCAGAGTGTTGCAATGTTGTGCTCTGCCTTTTCCTGGAAAAATGCAGTTTGTACTTAGGAATCCATATCAATGTTATGCATTATAGACGAGTCATTGTGTGTTTTTTTTCCTTGTTTGTGGGTGCTGCCCAAAAGCTTATTTCCTAAGGAAAAATTTTGTACTAAGAAAATGTACAATTTTGTGAAATAAGAATTTTGAGTTAGACTACATAGGAAAAAGTAAAGATAAATGACAATATTCCCTTTCATCACCTCTGCACCTTAACCAAATTCTATTTAGTAAGAAGGTACACGTCCAATTAACCTTTCTTGGTAGATGGAGGAACAATTTCCTTCCTTCCTTCCTTCCTTCCTTCCTTCCTTCCTCCCTCCCTCCCTCCCTCCCTCCCTCCCTCACGGGAAGGGGAGAATGTGAGGAGGGAGGAAGGAAGGAAAGAAAGAAAAGCCAGTGACTCCTCTGCTCAGTCTTCTAGGCAGCAAGGGTTAACATGTAGAAGTTGAGTTAATGCAAAATATTGTCTGAGCATCAGGTATTAAATTATTTTTATAGGAGAAGGGTTGTTTGTTCCTTATTAAAAGATGTTAAACACAGAGTGAAAAAAAGAATACCAAAAAGTATAAAACAAATAAAATAGCTTCTATTATAACTAGGGAATGAAAAGTAGCAAAGTTTGTTTTGTCAAAAATTCAGTTAGAACTTGCCAGAACACCAGCAGTTAGAAGCCAGCAATGGAGTTGCAGAGCATTTGGCAACTAACTGTGGAAAGCAGTTTTGCATTAGTTGCCCAGAATTCCTTGGTGGTTCTCCTATCTGGGGAAAACCAGTCATATGTTTTGAGTACAAGCTTAGGTGCCTCCCTAGTTCATGCTAGCATGCACAGCAGTTCATTCCTCTGCTTAATCTTTCACCATCATAAAATGCTCAATTAAACAAAAAAATCTGTTAGAGATTATTATTGTGAGTATATAGGGGACTTTAAATGAATGACAAATTATTCAAGGAACATCTTTTTCCATATTGTCTTAAGTTACTTCTTTAAACTATTAACCTTGCTCTGCTCTCTATAAAAAAGATTTCAGAATAAGGAAATCTTTTCCCTAGTTGTAGGCAAATAAATATGTTCTAGAGGTATCTGAATGGAGCCTAACTAGAACTAAATTTGGAAGGAGAAGCAAAGGAAAGCCAGAAAGGTGGAATCAACTTTTGAGAAACGGACTTAAATGTTTCTGAAAGGACTATATTATATAGAAGCTTGACTGGAACACTTAAGTCAGCTTTCCCCAGACTGGCACCCACCCACCCCCCAGTGTGTTGAACTAGAACTGCCACATCCCCAGACATAAAGTTCATTCAAAGTGCTAGTTAGGGATTGCAAATACATTACATAATATATGTAATAAATCTATTGCAATCTTGCTACATCCAGTACACTCAAATATTTTCCTTTTAGTGGATCACATTAAGGATGTGCTATCCAAATGTGAAATATTTTGAATTCAAACCATTCAGATTTCAAAATGTCCAAGTGCAAAGTAGTTGTTTCACATTGATAGTGAGCTTTTTATCCCCACCAGCACCACCACTTTGGAAACATTTTGAGCATCAGACAGCTGTTTCAAGCTCAGAACAGCTGGTTTAAGTGGTTAAATTCAAAATACTTTGCCCATTGTTAGAATGGAGTCTCTGCATTTTAGAGTGAGTTTATGTGGGATTCAGATGGCTAAATAAAACCCAAAAGAAAGTTGACAGCTCCTTGCTGCTCTTTAAAATGACCCTTTCATTTATAAAGTCCTCTTTTCTTCAGTGGTATCAGAGTATCTACTGTTGTTTTGTTGTGGCTGTTTTTGTTTTAAAAATGGAATGCGAGAAAAGAACTCGTGTTGCAATTTTTCTTGTTTAATTTTCAGATAATAAAATTACCCAGTGGGAAGACCCCAGACTGCAGAATCCTGCTATTACAGGTCCAGTAAGTACTGTACAGAAAGCTTGAATTCTTTTGCGAAACGGCTGCTGTGATTAGTTTTTTGAACTTTGAAAGAACATCATAAGTAGAGGATGGCTGACTTTGGAGGCTGTACCTGTGGTCCACCCTAATAGTGACATTGATATCACCCATTTTTCTCATCCAACCTTTTAGCTCTCTAGATAGTTCTTAGTGCTAAAAAAGAATCCCAAACAGTGAACTTGGGTTTGCAGAGAGAATATAACCCATTCCAAATCATATATAAATTCCCATTCTTACTCACCCCCTATTAGCAGTTTGATAAAGAGGAGAAAGCCTTTTTTGAAGTTAGAAACATTGGTCCAACTAATCCTGTATCAACCATTATTTCAGGTTTATTGAAATAAGATGCTACCTGGAAATGCCAGTACTGGAGTACCCCTTACCATTACTGAAGTACACAATATGGTTCCAGTATCAGCCTAGAGCAATGTTTTTCAAACTTGGCAGCTTTAAGATGTGTGGACTTCATGCTGCCTGGGGAATTCTGGGAGTTGAAGTCCACACATCTTAAAGCTGCCAAGTTTAAAAAACACTGGGCTAGAGTGTCCTGTAGAACTGAAAACAGACAGGATGCTTTCTATAAGGTTGCTATAGTTCAAACTAGCTTTGGGTATAAATTGGAGAATGGGAACCTGCTTTCTTTTGGCTCCTACATACAGTATATGCACAAAAGAGTTATTTTTAAGAGTCTAAGAGTTTTATTTTGACCCATTACTATCATTACCCTGTCCTCACTTTATGACTTTCAGTTTCCTGAAGGAAACAAAGACATAACTTACAACTGCAGGGCTGTTTTGCCCTTTTGGATACCCAACTATCAAATATAATCATAATCATTACCTATATTCATTGCAGCCTGCAAAACAAGTAGCCTTCAAGAAGTTGACTAGAAGCATAGTGTGTGTTTTGCTCTGTTAACTTCTGCACAGAATTTTTCCCACTGTGAGGAAATAGTATTAGCAAGCAGACGGCTGTTTCCCGCTTCAGCATGTCTCGAGCACACTTCTTCTGTGCTTCCTCTGGAGCTCTGACAGGAGTCTTCATTTTCCCAAAGGAGATAATAAAACTAGTTTGCAAATAAGTTATGTCTTTAGTAGAAAACTAAGCATTTTCAAGAGAGCAAGAAATCATGTTCGTTCCTATCTGGTTGTATAAATAAGAAAGGTGTACAGACGCTTTCATAATTTGACATACTGATACAGGAGATTCTATTTTGGCATTATTAACTGGCAGGAAGAAAAGATAATAATACCAACTTGAATGCCTGGTAACCTGGAAAGAAATAGAGATATCTGGAAAGGCTTGGAACCTATCGGAATATGCAACAATTTTAAAAAGCCTCTTTGTTCTAAGTTTAAAATCAACATATTACATCCAAAACATTCCATTGGAACATATTAAATGAGTTGTGTTCCAGTGAAAAAAGTTCCAAAGTGTTCCTCCATGAACTTAAAACAAATCATTGTTTTCATCCTACAGTCACCAAAGTAGATGAGTGTCCATGCTGACTGTTACCTACCAGTAACATGGTTACTGTTACAGGAGTAACAGTAACTTTAAACAGTAAAATTACTGGAGTAGGTTACCTCCCTACTCCATGGCCAAGGGGATGGCTTAAAAAAAAAATTATTTATTAATTGTGCACTGAATATGGACAACTGCTTCATTTACTTTTGTGTTTCTAAGATCAAAAACAAGGGAGCAAACTTTTCTTCCAGGTTTCTATTGTTCTGCAAGGCAGAACACTCAAAATAACATGGGGCTGCACACTCTGTTTGGTCCTGGGCTTGGGATGAAACCTCAGAATACAAACACACAAAAACTCAATCCATTTCTGGTTCTGGTGAAAGTCTCAGCCCAGCTCAAGTTTTCTTTTAAATTGCATCTTTCTTTCTAAGGTAACTACCTAACCAGAAGAATTTCAGTATGTATTGAGACAAGTAGGTAATTTAAAAAGCTCAATATTCAACTCCTGTAGGGGTGGGAAATCACATATCGAAACAGTTTTTTATATGTATCATATAGGACCACAGGCATCAGGTGAGGGTTAAGGAAATGAGTAATTAAAGAGAAGTGGGTGGTCCCAATGTAGATCTTTCATGATCATTTGATGCTTTAAGCTAACAGCACAGTGTTCATGTCTTCCAGGCTGTTCCATATTCCAGAGAGTTTAAACAGAAATATGACTACTTCAGGAAGAAGTTAAAGAAGCCGGTAAGTAAATACTTATTTTATTTATTTATTAAATTTATCTCCGCCCATCTCCCCTGATGGGGGACTCTGGGCGGCTCACATAAATATATATACAATCACATAAAACATGAAAACTGTACAAAACGTTACTAAAAGAAAAGAAAAAGAAAAAATCCAAGAGGCTGATGGTTTCCAGAGCTGCAGACGACAGGGGTCTAAGGGACTAGCCATCCCCATGCTTGATATCTTCCCTCCCCACCCCAGGCCAAGCGGCAGAGCCAGGTCTTCAAATCCCTCCAGAAGGCCAGGAGTGAGGGGGCCAATCTCATCTCCAGGGGCAAGATATCCCAAAGGGCGGGGGCTACAGCAGAGAAGGCCCCCCTTCTGGACCCCTCTAGTCAGAGTTCTTTTACCGAGGGGGTCCGAACCATGCCCCCTCTGTGTGATCGGGTGGGATGGGTTGAAGTCATGGGAAAGAGGCGGTCCCTTAGGAAACCTGGTCCCATGCCATGTAGGGTTTTAAAGGTGATAACCAGCACCTTAAATTGGACCCGGAAGCAACCTGGTACCCAAT